AGAGAGAGAGAGAGAGAGAGTGAGCGCAGTAAAAGCTGGAGTCTACGCCAAAAGCAGACTTCTGTAGATCCAGTCACTGAAGGGTCAAAACTCTTTAGTCTGGGCACACACTACAGGTGGCTCATGTTTAGAAAATGTTCACTCACAGTCTTAACACTAATGAAAGTACTCTCCTTTCTTTGAGGCTTTGTAACAGATGTTAATCAATATATCTGGTTACTCATGATATAACATTTCTGTGTTTTTATGTATTAGTGAAAAGAAAGCAGATGCGACCAAACTTACTAAACTTTGGTATTTTGATGAGTTCAAATGTAGAAAAGACAGAGAAAACACACTTTAATAAAATTGACTCATTTTAGTGCTTCATATGAACATTTTGGTTTATAATGGAGATAGGCATTGGTACTCCTCACAAGTTCAGAATGAAGTCCAATGTTGAAATAAATTTGTTTCAAAAAGAAACAGAAAGAAGAAAGAAAGAGAAGATGGATCCATCAAATACTGCAGAAAAGCAGTAAATTAAAAAGTTATCAAAATACAGTCACAGCAGTGAGCAATATGGATTAAACAGAAGCTGCAAACACAGAGAGAAGGAGAAAGACAGACTCTGGAACGGGCTATGACATCACAGACATGGACAACACATTAAATAACAGAGAAAGAGAAGAGGGAGAAAAATCAATACCTAAAAGTAAAAAATAAATAAAATTAAAATAATAATAATAATAGAGAGAGAAAGCAAAAAAAAAAATTATCTACTTGTTCTTGGAAACAGTAACAAGACCCTACCTGATCGTAGCTGCTTAATACGCCCATTGTTGTTGCTTGTGTCCACAGGTAAGAAATCTTTAAACCAAGTGATTTCTGGATCTGGATTCCCACTGGCTGCACAAAGCATGGTGGCTGTGCGTGTACGCTCAACCACCTTCAATTGTGGGCCCATGTCAATGGTAGGGAAGCCCCGGGGAATTTGATCCTCTGTAAGACAAAAGGTAAAACAAACATGTTAACATGACCTTGACTTAAAGATGTCATCCATCACTCTTGTTCCTTACCTTAGTTAGCATCCGCTGCCAAGTGGACACACACGAGGCCACATTGTGCCCCTGACTAGGATATAGACACAGTAAGGAATAGGCCAACTGTCTAGCAAGAGGCTGAGCATGGATGATAAAGACCATGAGGAAGGGAAGGATCAAGTTGTCTGGGAGCACAGAAGGAGAAGTGATTACATCTTAACCTCCAGCTGGGTCTGGCATTAATTTAACCAACACTCAGCTGACATCTGATATTCTCAATCCCCAATTCCAAAATAACTCAAAAGCACAAGTATCAAAAAGCAAAAACTTAGAAATCATCAGATATGGCACTGACCTGAAATCATCAAATGTGGCAAATGTTGACTGTTCTGTCTTGCTGAATTCTAAGTGAGGTATAGTTTCTAGGGAATAGGCTCTACTTTTTGTGCTGTCTACCAAACCTTTGTGTTCGCCAACATCTCCTATCTGCAGTCTATGGAGTAACAAGCATAATCCCCAAAACTTTGCTGTAAAGTCCCATTTCTTTTTTTCTTCTTCTTTTTTTTTTTTTTTAAAGATTTATTTATTCATACAGAACTAGGGTACAGGCCAGAGGCTCAGGGGCGGTGAGAGGCTTCACCAGAGACAGAGTGGGGAGCAGAACAGGCAGATGGACGAAGTACACTGCTGAGGGAAGCAGCGGGCGGGTCAGGAGAGGTCTGGCTCGCCATGTGGTCTACTCCGGGGCAGGCCGCAGGCGGGAATCGAACTCATGCGGAAGTGGCTTCAGATTCTCAGTGCTGTGCTTTAACCCACTGCGCCACCAGGGAGGGCCTTTTCTTTCTTTTTTTTAAGATGTATTTATTCATACAGAACTGGGGTACAGACCAGAGATGCGGAGGGTGAAAGAATTCACCAGAGGCATAGCAGGGAGCAGAACAGGCCGACTGATGAAGTACACTGCTGAGGGGAGCAGCGGGCGGGCCAGGAGAGGTCTGCCACGCCATGTGGTCACCTCTGGGGCAGGCAGGGATCGAACTAATGTGGAAGTGGCTTAAGCTTCTTAGTGCAATGTTTTAACCCGCTGCGCCACCAGGGAGGGCCGTAAAGTCCCATTTCTTTAGCCTCTCATGGGCAACCTCTTCCATAGGAAATTTTTTTCTGCCCATGATTATATTCTCACCATTGAGGAGACAAATTATATCAAATCTTCTGAGCCTAAAATGTAACCTTTCCCTCTTTGCAACAATGAGGATCTATATTTATTTCTTGGACTCATTATCACCAGCTTATCCCACTCTAGGATGGGCTCTTCCATGTATCATTTGTACCCAAATTCCTTGCAATCAAATTGGTCTGATCACCAGATATTAAGAGAAACTCTAGTGATACCCCAGCCTCAGTATGAATACATTCCACTGATTAAAAAGAAACTTTCTGATTTTGCTTAATAGGAATCTAGTTCTGGTGCAGAGTTGATCAAAGGAAGAGTTAAGAACTGAGAGATTTTGAATGAGAAAAGTGAAAGAATGTCAAAATACTCTACAAGAATAAAGATGACAAGAAAGGGAGGTTTCCCTGAACAAGTTCAGGTAATTTTAAGTGAAAAGTATAACCCTCAATAAGTGAGGGCAAGAGAATAAAAAAAAATCATGAAAAATTGTTAATGTCAACCAGTTACATTTTGATTAAGTGCAAAGCTCTTTTGTTGATTGGGATGCATCAGTCATTTGTTGATTGGAATATGTCCCCAATATTAGCCAAGCAGGTGTACACAGTGGACAAGTGTTAGAAAGTTATTAAGAATGAAATTTTAGGATGACTTTTTCAGGGCTCCAAGGGGAACTTTAAGCCTTGCTAGTGGGATAAGTAATATTATACAAATTAGGCTATGCCAGTCTTAATAATCTATTTCACTAAACTTTTATTAGGCTGTTCTTTCTGACTTTAAAGCTTTTATCAATCAATTTATATGTATAGTGTGGTTCTGATGTTTGGGGAGTAGGGATGTTAGGGGAGTGGGGGAAGAAAGCAGAAAGATCAATAGTCTTTGTACCATATCTATTATTAAATATATTACTTGTCAGCTATAGACTACAAATTGCTTCAAAATTAAAAAATAATTTACCTCAAGTACTCCAAAGTCAATAACATAAGTTTAGTCACTCAGATATGAGTCTTCTTGTTATTACTATTTTTAAAGTAACCAACTTATGTTAATGAAAAAAAATTACCTTGGGATTCCTTAGCTATTTTTTTTGTATTTCTCCTACATTATGTAACTACTAGTTACATAAGCATATATTAACATTGTTCTGCTAGTGATTAGTTTTCTTCCACAAGTTCACATCTCTGAAGAATCAACCCAATAAGAAGTACTGTGCAGGGGCAAGTGTCGAAAGTTAAATGTTGGTGCACTACTTTCTAGAGGATCTTACCCAAAAAATCTAGAATTAATAACCATTTGTAAGAAATGAAGTCTTTACCACAGGGAAAGCTGACAAAAATGACTTCTGATCTACCCAAAACAGTCAAATACCTTTGCATGACCTTTCTTTCCCTTCGTGATTCATAAAGAATACTCCAGAGCCTCCTTTTCATATACACAAATGCACAACAGATATCATCTTTCTTGCATACTAATCAGACACAGAACATAAAGAGAGCTCCTGTTTTATTTTTAATAAGGGTAATTAAATTCTCTCCATCCCCCTCTTTGCATAGAATCTCTCTGAATGCACTTTGTTCATTAAATTTTCATGAGAAACATCACAATGTAACAGATTCAAATAGCCAGAACTGTTATATGTTGACAGTTGTGGCTTGTTTCCAATTTGACTGTCAGGTATGTGGCAATAAAACTCAATATCAACATAAAACGAACTGCGGAAATAATGAAATTTCTAATTGGAATGCTTATCTCAGTGGGCGTAGTTTAAAAGATGTTAATTGCTTCCCCCCCACCTTTTACATTTATTAGTAATTTATATAAAACTGCCTTGGCCATTTGATAACATCAATTTTGACAGCTCATGAAATGTGTGCTACTAGAAACTCAGAAACTTGGGAGCTGGGGGTGAGAATCAATATCTTTTATACCTTAACCACATAAACTTTTATGGTATCAAAATTAACAAATTGTTGGTATCTTCGTAACTTTAAACTTATACATGAGGTGAAAAGAAAAACATTTTGTCCTATTCATTAATGTGCTCATTAAGCTTTAAAGTGCCTTACTTATCACTGTTCCATATTAATATTCAATCATGCAGAATTAGCTACTAATTCATCAACAATTTAAATCAGACTTGACCTTCACAAAGCCATTTGGTCTGTCATTTTGAGAGGCCATTAAAGGGCAGATTACTACATACTTGTGCTTAGTGAATCATAGAAGTCATACATATTTTGTTTGGAATGGCAGCTATAATAGACCTGGAAATATAGCACAGTCTTTGAATCTGTTTGGTGTCTTCATGAAATATGCTGATATGAAACTTTCAGTTCCATTAAGGAAAGAACAAAAGGAATGTCAGCATTTTTCCAGAGTTAATTTCCCACTGCTATAGAATTATTAATAATTCCTGGTTTACTCAGGTTTGAAAGGAATATATGAGAAAATAATCTGACATTGTTTTATAGGGAATGCTGTCTTAGATGTATCTGTGAATTATCAAGTAATAGCTTTTTGCATAATTTGCTCAGTTAAAGTACTTTCACTGCTTATCCATAAACAATTTTTATGTTGCTTTTACTTTCACTCCAATTCCATAAACAATGAGCCTCTCCTATTTGATGGGACATCAAACAACTAAATCACCTGCTCTGGCCACAGCCCTTCCAGTGTGGCCCCACAGGTCTTACTTAATTTTGCTAGCATTCTATCTGAGTGAATTCAGCCAGTCTGTTCCTTTGACTTTGGTCACAAGTGACCTAAAGATGGTTTCAAAAGACTATTACTGTGTTGCTACTTTCTTAATATTTCAAATCTATGGTAAATATTTATGAAGAAAAATCACATATATTTATTACATCAACAGGATGCTACCTCAAAAGCAGTATGAAGAGTTTGGTAAATAAATTTCAACCTCCTCACTTAGGAATTATTGGTAATACAAAGTTTTTCATGACAATCAGAGTGCAAGAGTGCAAAACCAGAATATGAAGAAAAAGGTAAGAAGGCCTTTTTTGGTAGAACTCACCTCCTGAGTCACTCTTGTTAAACTGCTCTTAGTGGTTCCTCCTTAAAAGCTCCCAATTGATGTTATCAATAAACCCCTTATTATAGTCAGTGTGTAAGCCTGAACTCCTAGGGCACAGAGGGTAAGGGTTATATATTGTTTCCTTTTAAATGTCACAGTGTTCAATAAACCCTTGTAATTAGACATGTTTAGGAAATCTTGGCAACTCTTTCATCATTCACTCATGTAGCAACTTGAATTCCTACTGGGTTTATTTAATGATACTCATTTAAAATAGTTAATCATTATTTAATTGTTTTATGACTATATATTTGGTCTCTTATCAAGACTTATAACCTCTTTCTAGTTTTAACAGTATCTTAAGTAGTATTAGACTCAAAGAATCACAAAAATATAGAGTTACAGGCTCATAAAAACAAGCATCAATGACATGAAAGAATTCTTAGTCTAATTGTAACAAGTATTTCTCAGGGTCTGGTTATCTTAATTCTTTAGGGCATTCACAATGTAATCTTACAAAAACACATTTTTTTGGAAGAAAGTATTGAATGGGGCAGTTTCATTAACATAATAAAACAAGTAAAAAGTCAGAGGTATAATATGAGGAATTTTTTCTAAAGATTTACTTATTTATTTATGTATATATAACTGAGGTATAGGCCAGAGGTGCAGGGGTGGTAAGAGACTTCACCAGAGACAAAGTGGAGAGCAGAACAGGCAGATCAACGAAGTACACTGCTGAGGGGAGCAACAGGCG